AGTTAGAGTGGAAAAGTCCTTGAAAATTTCAATTCTGAGTAAGAAAACAAAGGGGCTTTGGGTAGAAAACAAAACAAAAAACAAAAAAAGTGCAGAGAGATTTCTAAGAACTACATGTTGAACAATATTTGCAAATAAATCATCTAAGTGTATCAATCACCAGAAGCCCCTTTATGGAGAGATAGGAAGATATTTCTACCGCAAAGCATAAAGGACAGCAGTTTTAAAAGTCTTACAAATTTGTATTTTTCATGTAAGGTTAAATTTGGGAAGATAAATTTTGGCGGGTAGAGGGTGTGAGAATGAGGAGTAGAGACAAAAAATTGACCTTAAGTAAATGATGAGGTTGTTCAAAAGGACCCTCAAAATGTGTATAACAATCCTGATGCATCTCTACGACTACAGAGCTACAGTACTCCATGGTCTTCCAGCCTCCCCTCTCAGTCTTCCCGATTAGCAGCGTGAGTGGCCCCGGACCCACCTGCCACAGCGGTGCAAGGTTCTACTAAAGCCTTGGCCACTGTGAGGTCTCTGGTTTGTGAGGGAGGCAGACAGGAGGCAAGGGGAGGGGAGGCCTGCAATGAAGGCTGGGGACAGTGAAGCCACCCTGAATTATCTTTTCAGAAATAGAGGAAGTCATTCATTGACCCCCGAAAGGTCACAAGGCAAGAAGGAAGTTGAGCCCAGTCCTCGTGCCCAGTTTTTCAGCTGAAGGACATTCACTCGATTGGGGTTTCACAGAGAATTCTTAAAGCGCTTGTGGTGTGAAAGTGATAGGGGAACTCAAGAGTTAAAGATTTTAGCTGTAGTTATAGTTGATAGGCTTGCGTGATTAACACTGGTGGAAAGCCGTTATTTCAGGAACTGGAATGTATGGCCACACGATGCCAGGAGGCTGACAAGAAAGTCAACCTTGTCCCCCAGGGAGCCTGCAAGCTGTTGAGATGGTATCTGAGCCAGTGTGTTCCAGGAGGAAACTCCAGTGATGCAGATAAAGAATTACTGATCAACAGATGAAGAAGTACTAGGAAAATGGCCACTGGACTGCAACTCTTATCCAATTAATCTTTTTTCCAAACCCCTTACCTACCATTCTCCTTATGAAAAGCCAGCTTGAGATGAGATGTTAACATGGTTTTTGAGGGTCCATCACATGCCATCTTCTCAGATTGCCGGCATCAGTATACAGCGCTCATAGAGACTCAGTTCTTGTCTCTACTTATTGGTTCTGGTAGTGACAGGCAGCACAGATGCCGACTTTTCCAGTTTCAAAAGAACAACAGAATTTCCAAGACATGAATGATCTCAGCTGTCCTGAGATTGTTCCCATTCCTGGGGCCTTTGTACCCCATCTCTTCAGAGGCTGTGGGAACAGAACCATCTCTGAATGCTGGTGTAGAATCATCATAGTTTCTTCCTTTGGCCTGTCACACTGTATGAACGGTTCCCCTACCTGGAAGCAAAAGATAGCTGCCATCAACCCCACCTGAACTGGCCCACTTGCTGCTCATTTAACCTGCCGTGGGGCTTAGCACATTCCTCCCGGGGCAATGGTAAGACTTTTGTGGGCCTGAACTGAGTGAGGGAGGCAGGTCCTCTAGATTCTGCTCACATTGTCCAGACACAGCTCAAAGGAAGCAAACTGAATGTTACTGAAAAAAAAAAATGAGACTGTAAAACATGATTAAGAATGTACAATAGAAGTTACCTGTATTACACATAAGAAGCAGAAGTTATCCAATGTGAGGAAACGTTCCTTTTGTTGGGTGACACTTGACTTAAAGTGCATAAAATGAGCGGGCTTTGGGAGATGCAATTTGTGCCACCATCTGGTAACAGAGCCTGGAGAGGGATCCAGGGAGCGGAGCGCAGACGTGGTGGGGTAGAGTAGTGTTAAGTGTGAGCTCAGGGGCACGCCACGGCTTAGCTGGGTGACAGTCCTTGTGCTCCGGGTTTCTTCCTTTCTCTTATTTTTGCAAAATATGTTGACGCAAGTGAGCAATGTTCGTCTTATGTAAAACACATTTACAACTGTGAAAAAAGGAAGCATTCTATTCAGGTAGTTTTTGAATCGAGTGTTGGGTTGGCCAAAAAGTTCGTTTGCTTTATTCTGTATGATGGCTCTAGTGAGCGCTTAGTTGTCTTTAACTTCATTCAAAACAATTTTGTTAGGTTGTATCGTGACAGCTGTCATATGTGCATTTAAAAAAACTTGATCAAAGTTGGTGAATTTTTGTGCAGCCATTTTAATATTGAAGATGGAAGAAAACCAGCAACGTTTTCAGCATGTTATGCTTTATCATTTCAAGAAAGGTAAAAATGCAACTGAAACACACACAGACCCAAAAGGATTTGTGCAGTGTATGGAGAAGGTGTGGTGATTGATAGAATGTTTCAAAAGTGGTTTGCGAAGTTAGGTGCTGGGGTTTTCTCGCTGGATGATGCTCCATGGTTCAGTAGACCAGTTGAAGTTGATAGAGATCAAATTGAGACTTATTTAAAATTTTTTATTTTAAAATCATGTTTATTCTATTACAGCTGTCTCAATTTTTCCCTCTTTACCCACCTCCACCCATCCCATCCCTGCTCCCTCAGTCAATTCCCACTCTGTTGTCCATGTCCGTGGGTCATTCATACATGTTCTTTGTCTAAGTCTTTTCTCCTTCTTTCCACCATTGTCCTCTTTCCCCATCCCCTCTGGTCACTTTCAGTCTGCTCCATGTTTCTATGCCTGTGGTTTATTTTGTTCGTTAGTTTATTTTGTTGAACAGAGTCCACTTATAGGTGATATCATATGGTATTTGTCTTTCACTGACTGATTTATTTCACTTAGCATAATATTCTCCAGTTCCATCCATGTTGTTGCAAAAGGTTGGAGTTCCTCCTTTCTTTCTTTTTAAATGCAGATTGATTTTATTTTTTTAAATGTCAACATCCATTATAAAGTCAATATCCATTATAAAATATTAAAAAATTTAAATCCATTATAAAGTCTCAGCAATTAAAACAACATGGCTCCAGCACAGAAATAATCAAGTAGATCAATGAAATAAAATGAACATTCTAGAAACAAACATATATCTATGATTAAATTGATATTTCAGATCCATGGGGAAAATAAGGCTTATTCAACAAATAAGGTGCATGGACTACTATTCCTTGAAAAAAAAAACCAAATATAGGGCCCTATTTTACACATTATACAAAAAATATGCAGATGAGTTAAAAATCAATATGCAAAATCTAAGGAGTTTTAGGAAAAAATACAAAATAATATTTTTCTTACCCTAAAGTAAAATATTCAAACCCAGAAGCTATAAAGTAAAATATTGACAATATGACTATATTAAACATTTAACACTGTACAGTAATATACATATAAAAAAAGTTAAAGGACAAGTAATAGAATAGGGAGGTATTTGCACCACATCTAAAAAAGGGTTAATAGTTTTTTGTTTTTTTTTTAGGGAAAAAATTCTACAAATATTTAATCAAAGAATGGATAAAGAATACCAAAAAGTCATTTAAAGCTCTTTAAAAATAGAAATAGGCAAGAAATAGACAAAAACAGGTTTAGTTTCAACAAATAATAAAGGAACAATGAAAATAACACATCATTGTCACAATCAGATTAATATGTATTAAACAATTTTGGTAATATCAAGTGTTGGCAACTGCGAAAGGAACAGGGTGTTCATAGACTCTTTTTATTCATCTTAAAGCATCCCTTTAGCATATTTTGCAGTACTGGTTTGGTGGAGGTGTGTTCTTTTAGCCGCCTTTTGTCTGGAAAACTCCTTATTTCACCTTCCATTTTAATGGAGAGCCTTGCTGGGTAGAGCAGTCTTGGTTGCAGGTCTTCGCTTTTCATGACTTGGAATATTTCTTGCCATTCCCTTCTGGCTTGTAGTGTTTCTGTTGAGAAGTCAGATGCTAGCTGTATTGGGGCTCCCTTATATGTTACTACCTCTTTCTCCCTTGCTGCCTTTAGGATTCTCTGTTTGTCTTTGCTCTTTGCCATTTTAATGATGATGTGTCTTGAGTGGGCCACATTGGATTCCTCTTGGAAGGGACCCTGTGTGCTTCCTGGACTTGTGTGACATTTTCTCTCCTCAAACTAGGGAAGTTTTGCATCATCCCTTTTTCAAACAGGTTCTCTATCCCTTCCTCCTCCTCTTCTCCTTCTGATATCCCTATTAAATGGATATTATTATGTTTCAGGTTGTCCTGCATTTCCCTCAATGCCTCTTCATCCTTTTCGAGTCTTTATTCATTTTCTTGCTCTTTCGGGGAGCTTTTTTCTACCTTATCCTCCAGCTCACTGATTAGTTCCTCTGCTTCATCTAGCCTGCTTCTGATTCCTTCTACTGTGTTCTTCAATTCAGAAATTGTATTCTTCATGCCTTCTTGTTTCTTAGTGATAGTTTCTATGTCCTTTTTCATGCTGATACAGTTTGCAGTAAGTTCCTTGTAGTTTCCCTGTAGTGTTTTGTCATTGTCTCTGAGCTCACTGAGCTCATTGAGCTTCCTTCGAACCACTGCTTGGAACTCAATATCTGATAGTTTACTCGTCTCTATTTCATTTAGTTCTCTTTCTGGGGATTCCTCCTTTCCCTTTGAGTGGGGGGTGTTTCTTTGTCTTCCCATTATTTGTGAGACTCTTCTTTTTTGCTTCTGCTCCTTAAGTTGATCTGTCTTGATTTTCCTGACTTTGTGGTATGAACTTCTATGGTAGGAGACCACTGTTTTCACTTTCTGGATCTGCCTCTGATGATGTCAGATGTTGACCCTGTCTGACCTTAGGCAGTCTGTTCGAGACTTCCGGGAACCTACTGTCTGTGGCTTTCTCCTTCAGCTGTTAATCTAGTCACCCTGCACTTAGCAGGCCAGCTTAGACAGCTCCGGGTGGGGCGGAGTCTCTCTTGGGGGCGGGGCTATTGGGTCCTCTCACGCTGCTGCTTCTCGGGGGTGTGGTCTGTCTGAGCAAGATGGCTGCTACTGTTTGTGGATGAGTCAGCACCGGGATCCTACTTGCTACTCTCTCAGTTGTCTCTCCAAAGCCTCCTTCTCCATTCTTTCCTCAGGGGCCTCCAGGACACTCTGCCTCCACCTTTGCTGGAGACCAGGGTAAGTGGCTGCAAATAAAAATTTATGTGTTGGCCCTTTAAATGGCTCTTTGTGTCTCCAGGCGCCTGTCTCTGGCAGAGAGCAACCCTGCTGCTTTTCACAGCTGGTTGTTATCTGTGTACTTTTTGGACTCTGGTGCTGTAGGCTGGAGATCCCCGCTTATGGTTTAGACCCTGCTCTTCTCAGGGGGATGCAACTGGCCATTTCAATATTCTCCTGGTGCTGCTGCCTATGGGCACCCCGCCTGCCTTCTCGAGTCTCCACTGCACTCCTTACCGGTCAGGTTGTGCTAAAGCTGATCCTTCCGTCTGTCTGAGGTTATAAGGCTCCTTTCTCACTGTTGTTCAGTTGTTTGTTCCAGGTGATTTCTCCACAATTTAGTTGTAATTCCAGGTCGGTCCTGGGAGGAGATCAGTGTGACTTCCATTCACATCCCCACCATCTTGATTCTCCTCTTGAAAGAACCTCAAATTGAGACATTAATTGAGAATAATCAATGTATCCAATAATACCGAGCGGGAGATAGATGACATACTCAAAGTATCCAAATCAATCAAGTTATTGGTAAAAATGTGTCTTTTATTTTATGGAAAAGAACTAAATGAATTTTTTGGCCAACCCAATAAATTAGAAAAAATGCAGCACCATCTGTAACCACAGTTTGGCAGTCCCAGGAGGGGGAATCAAATGACCATCTTGTATTTCACTGGCTCTGGGATGCACGTTTTTTTACACTTGAAGGTGTGTGAAGTGGGCTTAGACTTCAGGATCCCCTCGGGCAGATCGCAGGATGGTAGCTGTCATTTCCTGAGAACGGTGGAGTGAGTGCGCTTTAAGGAAGCTCGTCATCCACTCAGGCAGCTCGGAATATGTTCTGTGGGAAAGCCAAGGATGGGTCCAACTTTGTGAAGTTTCATTAACATCTTAACCGTGTTTAATCCACTTGTATTTTTTATTTTATGAAAGAATGTTATGTGACTTTTAAAAATTCAAATAAATTGAAAAGAATACTTCTAACAATTATAAAATTAAATTGTATCTTTGTCAGGCAGTTTTTCTTTCTTAGTGCTGTTAACATAATTGTCTTCGCTTGCTTTCCATGTACCTTTGATTTGGTGAAATATGCTAAGATGCAAAGATAAACCCTAGGATCTTGCAAATTGGTACTGAATAAAGCTATAGAAATTGTCAATTTTACTAACAATTATGTAATGATATGTAAGAACTCGCCTTTTCATAATAAAGTCCGAGGTCTAGCTCTAGAGAAGATGTAACACTGATGGGAATATTTAAATAAGACACAAAGCTGCTATATATATTATGTTATAATGTGTCACATATAATATATGTAATTACATATACTCTACCTATATTTATATACAGATAAATTACATATATAATACATATATTGCATGTAAAATATACATATACATAAATACTGTATGTATATTATATACAATCAACACATATAACATATTATAGATATAATATATAATATATGTATATGTGCAATTATATCATATATTATGTGTGTATATTATATATGTATAATATATAGTATAACATATATAATATATATATTTTACTGATGTAGAAATCCAGCTAACTACTGCCTGATATAACATGGTTGCTCTAGCTTCTGTGTTTTGCTGATATTTTTAACGAGCAGAACAAATCCAATTCAGGCCACGAGGGTTAAAACATTACATGAGAGCTGCAGAAAAGTGATTGGCAATGAAAAAAACAAGTTGAACTGAATCTGTAAAAGTAAATAAATTTGACTGTCTTAAACCTTTGCTTACCTATTTATTTCACAGAGATGGACTATTGAGGTAGCTAAGATTTTGTTTTTAAATTACATTGTTTAACCTTCAAAATGTTTCAAAGAAAATATTTTTGGAAGAAATGGAAAAACATTCTCCGATTTCCTTCAGATTGCATATTTACTAGTGGACGAGTTGAAACAATCATTCAGAGCTTATTTTGGTTAGCGATTCAACGTTGGAACAAAAATGTTCAACTGCTCCCCTCTCGAGCACTGACGTCAGGGGTCAGCCAGCTGCAGGCCAGATCCCACTCACCACCTGGGTTTGTGCGGCCCATCCCACTCACGTGAGGCCGGGGGAACAGCCAGTGTGCTCCCAGGGAAGTCAGCAATGGGACAGTGGCCAGTCCTCAGAAGGTCTAAAGGGACTGCATGAAGCCAAAACAGATGGAGGGAACTTGAAAACACACCGACATCTGCTTTTGAGTTGTAAGACTTTGCTCACTCAGATTCACTGGATGCAAGTAGCTGAATCACGCAGAAATGCAGGCGTGGAAAAGGGCCTCCTGAACTTGCCCTTCAGGCTCACTTCCTGAGCTCTCAGCGCCGTGAGCCTCAGGATCCCTGTTCCAACCTAGGTGGAGGGATGGGCCCTGAGCTTTCCCAGGGTGGCTGAGTGAGAACCCGGAACAGCCCAGAGCGTCCAGCTGTCTAGTCGCAGAGTATGTTCTTTTGTCGTGAAAGTGCCTCACTTGTGGAACAAGAAGCCGTTGTGATATGTCTGCTAAATAAGCAGAGGCAAAAATGAAGGCTGCGTGTCCCCCAGACCTATCCGTCCCAGCCACCCTGAGCCTTCGCAGTTACCTCAGGGCGAGGAGTCCTCGCTTTGCTAATGCAACACTTCAGTCTGCACATTGGGAGGGGAAAAAAAGACATGTTACTCTGATAGCACCTGAGCTGTCTTTGCATATTTACATGATATTGATTTAAGGCTTGCAAAACCCTGATGCGAAAAGTATTCCTTGTGCTGATGCCTGAGAGTTCCCCAAAAGCTCTGGCCACAGCATCCCCAGCATGGTGCTGACACGCAGAGCGCGCAGGGGAGGGCGTGTCCCTGGACCCTCTGCTGACGCGCAGGCTGTGAGGGCTGTCGGGGGAGAGAGCGTCCACCGGCTGACAAGCACGGATGCATTTCTGGCGAACTAGGGTCTGTGCCAGACTCCAAGACACATGCCAAGGGATCCACTTGTATGGTCTCTCCTGAGCACAGCTAAAGCCCTACTAGGCAGGCCCAAGAAAAGAGCCACAGTCTGCCGTGGTGAGCGGTGGTGGTGTCCTCGTTGGAGGAGGAAAGACGCTGGAGGCGTCCCCTACCCGGTGTTTGTCCGGTGAACAATGGCTGCCGCCATAGTGGCTCCTCTCCGGCAGCCTGGGGCCCTGGGGCCACAAGAGGTCAATGAATATTTGTTGACTGACAGGCTGCACTGCTAGTCTTAAATATTTATTACAGAAACCCGCGGAGGGGAGCCCCCAACGCGGCCCCATCAGAAGACACGGGACAATATACAGAGATGGATGGTCTGTTCCCGGAGTGATGCTGTGTTCCATTTGGTCGTCCCCTTCCCAGCTGTGCCTTCATTGAAGTTGCAGGACAGAGTAAGTGGCCTCCAACAGGCCTTGGGCACCGGGACTGTCGTCTCTTCCTTTTCTCCCTCCCTCCCTGCAACCGAGGCGAGATGGACAAAGGAAATCCCCACGTGGGTGTCCAATTGTGGGCCTCCGGTTTCGCACTGGCCTGGCAGGCGGCCCAGCTAGTTTCGCAGAGTCAACAGATGTGCTTCTGATGAGACGCTGCAGACATCCGAAGGCTTTGCCTGCAGGGAGCCTAGCTGTAGGGTGGGGGGAGGCTGGACACTCCATAGACACACCTGTCCCTGTTGTGATGTGGCCTTTGCCGCCCTTGAGGCGTATTTTTATATGTAAGATGTAGAAAGCCACAGATTGAAACACCTAGCCAGGAAAGGAGCGCTGGCTGCTGAAATGGCCTAAATGAAATCACCTAAATGGTGATGGTGTTCCCCCAAAATTCATACATAAAAATCCTACAATAGAGATCCATATTGTGCTGTATAGATAGGTATTTTTGCCCTGGGAGGGATAAATAAAAAACACATATGACGTCATGTTTGTTCAGGTCAGATTTTGCCACCAAATGAGTTTGCACTAAATGTATAAATAGTTGCTGGGCTTGGAGGGCTTTAGAAATATTCTTAAGGTACAGACTTTTTCTGCTACCCCTGCCCCCACCTTCAGTCTTAAGTTTTGCAGAGAAAGAAATTAAGACTCTGGAGGTTAATCCAACCAAAAGGTTGCTCATCAATGCACGTTTGGATTGATTTACAACCAAAAGGGGGAACTGTGGACGAAAAAAGTGACCTCATGGGGTGATCGGATAATAAATTCCTAACTGGGCAGGTCATGGTGAGTGGTCATGGCCCAGGCACATAACTTTCTCGTGAAAGGTTTATCTTTGCCTTAAGCAAGCCCTGTCTATTGTTTCTGTGGGTCTAGATTAACACTCTTTGAAATAAACCGTAACCTCCCACAATCTCGTTAACTATCCTGTTATCCAATCCCCCACTTTGCTTGAGTCTTCCTTCTGTCCCCTCCTTGTTTTCAAATGCATAAAAAAAGCTGCAAACCTGTTTTCAAAAAAGAACTCAGAGGTTAAGCTGCTCCTTGAAGACCAGCTGGGCTCGTAACTTCTAACTCGAGGTCTGCGTCTTTCCCACGAAGCCCACAGGGCCACCCAGGGGGGTTTGCTCTTCACTGGCTCCTGGCAGGGTGTCACCTTCCCTGTCTGCTCATCAGCCTCACCCCTCCCCCATATCTTGTTCCCATCCTGCTATACTCAGCACTTTGCAAACATCATCTCCTACCCTCACTTCCTTGGCTCTTCCGACTCTTATAATTTCAGAATTGCAAATGACCTTAAAGGTGCAAGCCGAGCTATTTCAGGTGAGGCTGGGCTCCCTTCCTCCCCCAGCCAACTAGAGGGAACCAAGGGACCATCACAGAACTCTGGGGATCCCCCCAAATTATGGACAACGGGGCGAAGTCTGACAAACCCTGGGGTAGCGTGAGCCCTGCAGTACCACGGAGGAGAAAACCCAGCTATGCCAGGTCACCAAAGTGGCTCACGATGAGATGACAACTAGCCATTACTCATCTCCCTGCACAGAGTCAGAAACTGAGGCCCCAAAAGGACAGGACAAACCCCAAGCACAAGCAGACTGCTGTTTCCACACCAGCCCGTGGACTGGCAGCGGCATTGAATTTGGTGTGTCATGCAGCTATATCTGGCATTTCATGTCGCTGTCCCATATGTTACACGGAAGGGTAAGGCGTGCTGTTTGAAATGCTGCCCAGTTATTTTTCGGGAGCATGAGGCTTATGTTCGGGAATTCTTAGAAGGTCTGGTTTACGTAACATAAACCACAAACTCCCCTGCCCATTCTGTGCCCCAAACATTCAGGGCAGCGCATTGCCTCCTGAGTTAACTGTACATAAAGAAATCCCAAAATATGTTACGCAAGAGATTTTTTTATTTCTCTGCTCTAGAAACTGCCAAATGGAGCTTGTCCAAAGTTTCCGTCTTAAAAAAAAAAAAAAAAAAAAACCTCTGGACTGAATTCCCAAATGTAAGAGCTCAGTCCAAAAAGGATAAGTTTTTAGAAGATTGTGATCCTGTGAGTGGACTGGATTGTAGTGAGAAATAAAATGTTCGTACAGGGAAAAAAAAATATATATCTAAATGTAGTATGTACTTTTTTTTATCCTCACCGCAGGACATTTTTTTCATTGCCTTTAGAGAGAGAAGAAGGGGGAGGAGAGAGAGGGAGAGAGACAGAGAGACAGATATCAACTTGATTGCCTTCCTATATGTGCCCTGACTGGGAATTGAACCTGCAACCTAGAAATGTGCCCTGACCAGGAATCGAACGCATGACCATTTGGTCTACAGGATGAGGTTTCAACCAACTGAGCCACACCAGCCAGGGCAAAGCAGTATGTAATTTTGAGAAGTTTCACCAAAAAATCCCTTGAGTTTTCTCAAAGCCACCTCCGTCTCTTCCGTTGCTTTCTTGAGTCCATTATGAAAGTCTTCTTTGTCTGTTTGAGGACCGCTCCCAGGACTTGCAAGTTTGGGGTGGCCGTGCTGGCCAGCTACTGTCTGAAAGTGTGAGAGGGGCTATAAATCGACCTTCGATAGTCATCCCCCTGTTTCTCTTGATAACAGAGTCTCCTGAGTGTCAGCAGGGCTCAGAGCTGCCCATACAGAGATTAGATTTCACAGCCTTCCTTGCAATGGGGTCTGGCCATTTGATGATGTTTGGGCAAACGGGATGTGAGCCTGGAGAAGAAGTAATTTACACAGAGGTAATGCAGGGCAACTTTGGAGACGTGTCCTTAGAAGAACATGCTTGTGCCTCACCCCCTGCCACTCCCCACTTCATGGGATTGAGGGCACCGCCTTAGGAGCTCCTGAAAGGGAACTGCGCCCCTGATAACAACCTGAAGCAGCGTTACCCACACCGTGGGACGTGGATTTCGAAGCACCTGTGTTACAGCCACTTAGCTTTCTATGCTGGCTACGTAAGGAGCTCTGAACACGTGGGTGTGGGAACAGCAGGAGACAGCAGATGAGTCTCCCACACACATCAGCTTTACTTCCTGACCCATTTTCGACTTGTCCTAGCAAAGTCCCATCTGAGGAGAAGAGCCTTGTTCTTTGTAAAAGTGCCACGGAAAAATCATGGGAAGAATTACTCCAAGGAATGTAACTGTGCTGGAAAAAAGAGCAGGGAGTTCTGGTCTTGAGCAGAGGCCAGAACGTGAAGTCAGCTCCATGTTCACTCAGAAGATCTTAGAAAATTAGCCATTGCAGCCAAGGACCCGAGAAGGCTCTTGATGTTGTGCTTACTGATAAGGGTAATCTCGGCCAATGACAGCGGTCCTGCCACGGAGCCTGGGGCTGGCTAACAGGCCCTCAGCCCTCACATCTGGTTCAAATAATTGTATCTTGTAGTCTTCGCCATCACTCCTTCTCCCTCAGGGCTTTCCTCCACGGAGCCTGAGCAGATGTGAACTCTCTGTAATGTGCTGGGCCGGGTAGAAGGGACTCTGAACCTTTCAATCATTTATTCATTCATTCATCAACAGCTATTTATAAAGGGCCTACTGTGTGTGCCAGGGCCCCGGCTCATGGCTGTCACATTTTAGTGGTGGAAGACGGATAGCGGACAAGTAAACAAGTGAACATCAGACAATAGCATTTCAGAGAGTGACTAGGGCTATGGATACCCTACAACGGGATCATTGAATGAGTTGAGGATTACTTTAGGAAGAGTGTTCAGTCTCTCTAAGGGGCTGGCATACAAACTGGACCCAGAACCATGAGCTATGGAGGGAAGAGTGGGTGCAAATGTCCTGGGGCGGTGAAGATCTTGGTGAGCTCAGGGAACCAAGAGAAGCCATGTGGATAGAAGAGCGCACGGGGGTTGGGGCGTGGGGTCCGTGAGGCAAGGTCAGCACCACAGGCAGCGAGCAGCCGGCACAGGGTCTTGTGAACTCTGACCTGGACTTTAGATTTTACTTTAAGAGCAATATGAAGCCTTTGGAAGATTTTAAATAGGCTAGGAGCATGACCTAATTTGCATATTAAAAAGATTACCCAGCTGCTTTGTGAAGAATGTTTTTTAAGAGCATATATAGTCATGGAAGCCCACTTAGGAAGGTATCACAGTAATCCTGGCAAGAGGTAATAACTATTATTATTTCCATTTCATGGAGACCTAGATGAGATATCATTTATGTAAATGCATGCAACAGATAATAATAATGCTTTACTTGTGTTTGCATAGTGATTTCAATTTCTTTCCTGTATTACATCATGTGAATTTCAGAACAACCCTGGCATGAACTATTATGCTTATTTCTTGGATGAGGAAACAAAGCTCAGAGAAGCTGGTTCCCCAGGAGATCACAGCAGTGTTAAGTGGGAGAAGCCTGCTTTCACTCTGGGTCCGATGGTTGTCGGGGGGTTGATGGTTCCCTTTCCCTGGACCATGCCGTTCTGCCAAATTAAAAGCAGTGGGCATAGCAACCAAACCAAGTAACCAACCATCCAAAGACCTAGGGCCAGTTGCCCTAAAATGTTCCCAAAGGAGGCAAGGTCGTTCAGGTGGCACTTAGCAAGCCTCAAGGGATGCCGGGTTCTGCGTTAGCTGCCGCAAGACGTAGGGAACAAAGGAAATGGAAGATGTTCCTCAGCTTACAGGCACTTAAAACCCAGCTGGGAGAGTTGGACAGAGTGCTATAAATAATTTAAGACTGCTCTGCGAATTAAGAGTCATAACCAATTACAAAAAGCTTTAGGAAGAACCCAGATTCTTTCCTTGTGGCAAAAGGGCCTGAATTCCGTGAACAAAGGTAGTTTCTTTTTAAATGGGCCTCAAGACAGAGATACAAAGGATCATATAAGAATACTATGAAAGACTATATGCCACCAAATTCAATAATCTAGAAGAAATGGATAAGTTCCTAGAAATATTATACATAACCTTCCTACACTGAATCATGAAGAACTGGAAAAT